TCCTGTGCAGAGTCTCTTTTTTTTTTTTTTTTTGATGCCAAGAAAGGGCATTTTGAAATCTCAGGAGCTAGGCTAAATATTTGCCCAATCAATTCCAGAGATGTGTCAGGAGGTGGTGATGCAAAGCAAACAGTGTGGTGACCTTGCTCTTGGCATAGCCTTTTCCATTCGTTCCATCAACAGATATGGCTGGGGCCTCTGCCCTCTTCTGGCCGCATGGCTGGGTGTACTGAGCCATGGGAGTGCAAGTGGACAGTGCCCTGCCTCCCGCAGCTCCACTAGGTGGGCTTGAACTGCCAGCTTTCATGTCACCCAGGGACCTGATGGGGCAGAAATTAATATCAAACCAGGTGTGCTGAATGCCAGGATGCCAGTCTGCCTTAGGAAGGCCATGTGACATTTGCATGTGATCTTTGTAGAAGGGAGATTCTCAGGCGTCTGCAGGAGCAAAGGCTTGGAGGTGGGACACTGCGGAGCTACCTGGGCAAAAACACTCTTGAAGTCATTGGATGCAGGCTGGTAAGAGGAGTGGCTAAGGCAGGAGATGCAGGCAGACCTCGGAAGGCTTCGTCTTCCAGAGAAGAGTGTGAACTTTATTGTGGAGGCAATAGGGAGCCGTTGACTATTTTTGAGTAAGAGAGGAACAAGCTTAATCAGAATAAAGAGGCTTTACTCTGCAGTCTGAACTGAGGGCAGAAGAAAGACTTGAGGACCTGTTCCCCTTTCCAGCCTTCCCTACACTGGGGCTTCATTCTCCCACACCACCCCAGCAGTGTCGTTGCCATATAATCGTAGCCCTCGGTCTTCTTTCAGGCTTGTCTTAGTGCCTCAAACCCATGCTCCTCCTCTGAAGGGGCAGAGGTGAGAGCAGGTCAGCTTGACTTTATTTCTTGAATGGCTGTTGGAAAACAGAATCCAACTTCCCAGGAAGTGCCAGGGGAAACAAGTCAATAATTGAGCTTAACGTGCTCACCGAGAGGTGGGAAGGAGGGAGCGTATTCCTCGAACCCTTGGAAGGCTCCAGGGGTCTTGGGGCATTTGCCAGGCTTTCTAAGTTAGCACAGAGATGGTGTGATCAGCACAGAGTGATCTCACTCCAAAGTTTCCCTATCGACAAACTTTGCTCTGTCAATGCACTTCTGACAGCTGTCCCTATGTCTAGCTCTGGGATGTGTTTTTCAGAAAGGGAGGCAGAGGGACCCCTTTAGTGTTCCCCTTTCTCCCTTCCACAGTGGCCTTTTCTAATGAAATGTGGTCTATTTCTCCATAGGGTCTGTGTTATCTATAGGGTCTCTGTGAGTCAGACTCGGGTTGATGGCAGTGGGACTGGGTTTATTGCTCTGGATTTCAGCGTCCTGGTTTCCTACAACGAGCCTTTCCTGTGGTTGCAGTACTTTTGGGACTAGGGACCATGTCATGCGCTCCTGAGATATTTGAACTCTTGAACGCTTGTCATCACTGGAGGTGGCTCTCCTCTCTGCTCTCCTCGGTCACCAGCGAAGACTGTTGTCTGTGACAATGAGACATCCTGCTTTCCTGAGACAAGGACCCAGGCCTGATGGGTGTTGTCCTCCTGCCAGGGCCTGAGTTTCTTATTGGCTATGGGCCTCCTTGGAGAGGATGTGGTGAGTGGCTGCCTTTGCTGAAGTTTCCTTAACAGCTCCATCTTTCAGCCTAGAACAGGCTGTGAGGAGGGACTCAGTCAGCCCTTGCTACTAAAGGCAGAGAGGTGGAGGTCTGAATCCTTATGTAGAACCTTCTGGAAGCTCAACTAGAATCTTTAGGGACTAGGATTATTGTGGTAAGAGTCCACAAGATTTCTCCAGTGTGTGGAACCTCGCCCTGCTGGGATTCTTGTCCGTTCACCTGAGTAGTAAAAGTCCCAGATTGAGAAGGATTTGGGGGTCTCCAGATGGCGGTCAGGCATGAGAGGAGGGGCCCTCAGTGCTGAGATAATGGTAGCAGCATAATCTGGCTGAGGCCAAAGGGCTGATGGTAATGATAATACCTCATGTTTGTATGGCTCGGCTGCTAACCAGTCTATCTAGAGGCACCACGGAAGGAAGCCCTGGAGATCTGTTCCCCAAACTCAGCATTGAAAACCCTACAGACACAGATCTACCCTGACACGCAGGGCTCACTGGGAGTTGGGGCTAACCCAGGGCCAACTGCATTTTTTTTAATGTTACAAAGTCAAAACAAACTCACTGCCATCGAGTCGGATCCCATTCATAGCAACCCCTCCTTGGGTTTCTGAGGCGGTATCACTATGGAAGTAGATTGCCCAACCTTCCTTCTGAGGAGTGGCTGGTGGGTTTGAATCGCGAGCCTTCTGGTTAGCAGTCAAATGCTTTGGGCACTGTGCCAACAGAGCTCCTTTTTTAGTGTTAGCATAAGCTGGCGGGTGGGGGAGGGGAACACCCAAATTTACTGTCATTGAGTCGATTCCAACTCATAGTGACCCCCATCGGGTTTCTGAGGTGGTAACTCTTTACAGAAGTAGATTGCCCTGTCTTCTTTCCATGGAGTGGCTGGTGGGTTTGAACTGCCAAATTTCTGGTTATCAGTCAAATTCTTTAGGCACTGTGCCACCACAGCTCACTATCCATCCAATGTTAGCATAACACAACGATGCAACACACTGCCGTTGAATAAGATCCAACTCATAGCGACCCTTCCCTGGGTTTCCAAGGTGGCATCACTATGGAAGTAGATTGCTCAGTCTTCCTTCTGAGGAGTGGCTGGTGAGTTTCAACCACCAGCCTTCTGGTTAGCAGTCAAATGTCTTAGGCACTATACCACCATGTTGTTGTTGTTGTTGTTATGTGCCGTCGAGTCAGCCCTGACTCATAGCGACCCCTCCTTGGGTTTCCGAGGCAGTATCACTACAGAAGTAGGATTGCCCAACCTTCCTTCCGAGGAGTGGCTGGTGGGTTTGAACCGCCAGCCTTCTGGTTAACAGTCAAGTGCCTTAGCCACTATGCTACCAGACCACCATAGCACTATTTAAAACATTTCACATATATATTAACTGTTAAATCCTCACAACAAATATATGGGTGGGGATACTGAGGTTTAGAGACATTAAGCAACTTTCCCAAGATCACACAGCTTCTAAGTAGTAGAGTTGAGATTTGAACCCAGGATTCTGACATTGACCATACTCGCAACCACACTGCCTTACCCGATGGAAGCAAAAAGGGCTATTGGATGGTGGCCAGAGGTGAATGATGGAAGATGAAGCATCCTAGAACCCTTGTCCTGGACCTGATTGAAAGCACAGGGTGAGCTGGGCCCCAGGAAAAGGAAGGGGTTCTCTCCTGGCTGGGCTGCCCCACCTCAAACTGTCCTGGGGAACTCCATGTCCTCAGTCAATGCCTGGAGGCCATGCTGCCTCCTGAAGGCTCCCTGACCACCCAGAACCCCCAAAGGACTCACACAGGAAGTTCCTGAGGGTTAGGACCTACAAAGCCAGGGTCAGAGCTTGCCTCCTTCCATGGTCGAGGGCAGTGTTTTATTCTCCCAGGTGGGAAGGACTCTGCGTGGAGTGGGGTCCCTGTGGGCCGAGCAGACCCTGCTGAGAGAATTCATCCCTCATACTCAAGATGGTCTGAGATGGAATTGTTCAAGAAACCCTGTGGACAACCTTATATTACCCATCTGGGGAAATGGAGGCCATATGTCAGGACTGTGGGGCAAACCCCAGAGACCCAGGAAGAGGGCCTTACAGTTACTGAGTGCCTACTATGGGAGAACTTGAACCAGAGAAAGCAGCTGCAGCGCATGTTGTGAGCACAGCCTCCGGCTGCCACGCAGGCTTTCTTTGCTGTGGCAGGACCAGAGCAGTCACCCACCTGGGGAGAGACCCTCCGTGGGCCCAGCTGGGCCATGCCGGTGTTGCCCTGGCCTGCTGCCCGCCTCACTGAGCCCTGTGGTGGCACCTGGGATGCTTTTCCTGCCAAGGCCTCCTTAGGCCCTGTTCTGGAACAAGGCACCAACCACCCCACCTGCACTGGTACAGACACTGAGGTGGATACCCAGTAAGCAAGGTAGGCACAGGCTGACATGTGCTTACTTACTAATCTGTAGTGAACAATTTCACATGGGTTTCACCACATGATGGGGAAAATGTGTGAAACTGTTCACAGTAGATTAGTAAGTAAGCACAAATCAGCCCATGCTTACCTTGCTTACTGGGTACCCCATCCCTGTCAGGGACTGCAAATTTGAGAAGAGGCTTTGAGTCTACAAGAAGGTGCTGTGGGGCTGGGAGAGAGAAAGATGCCAGCCTAGAAGCAGAATCTTTGATGTAAAAAAAAAGTGCAATTGTTCACGATAGATTACTAAGTAAGCACAAGTAAGTCCGTGCTTACCTTGCTTACTGGGTAATCCAACCCTAGTTATGGCAACAGCCAGACCTCACCTTCCACATAGACTTCAGATAAGCACGGTCCCTGGGGCAGACACCCAGTGGCTCCCCACACCTATGCATCTGGGGCCAAATACTCAGGTCAAGAATACTCACTCACTGCCATCAAGTTGATTCTGACTCATAGCGACCCCCATTGGGTTTCCAAGGCCGTAAATCTTTACAGAAGCAGATGGCCTCATCTTTCTTCTGCAGAGTGGCTGGTGGGTTAGAACCACCAGCCTTTCGTTTAGCAGCCAAATGCCTTAACCACTATACCACCAGAGCTCCTTTCAGGTCCTTTCAGGTCAGGAAAGGGGACTTAAACCAGAATCCTCTTATCCATCCTTCTGTTTATTGCATACAAACACCCAGTAAGCATCTCTCCCACTGCCCACAGAGGGAGACACGCTCACAGGTGTGATGACTTGCCCGGGATCACAGCCTTCTGGAGCTGGGTTTCCATCCAGGCCTGTCTTGTGACCCTCACACCTCTCTCCCTCCCCAAGGGCTTCTGCCCAGGACTGTTCCATTCATCCTCATCACAGCCAGCCCCTAGGCCATGGCCTGGTCCAACCTTGGGCCACAGGGGCTATGATTTCGTTGGGTTGACCACCTTGCCCAGAAAGAGGATGCTCTGAGTTTTGGTGGAAAAGATCACCACGAGGAAGGGCCGGTTGAACCTCAGCACATGGAGATTCCTCCGGGCACTTTTAAAGATGATCGAGAAGTTTGTGACAGCTGCCGCCTTGGTGCCGATCTCGTCCACTTCCAGAATGGCCTTGTGGAAACTCTGGGATGGAAATCGTAGGTGTTAGCACCAAGAGGACATGAGTGGGGCCTGGGGAAGACTGAGAGGAACCAAAAGTTCTGGAGCTCAATACTGCCCTTCCCAGCCCAAAACCACTTACTGGGGAAATCACAGCAAGGCTTCCTGCACTGGGACTGGGGGCGGGCAGTGTTGTGTGGGATGACCTCTTATGAGAGACAACCACCATTGCTACTATTGGTTGAGCATGTACTGCATGCCTACTGCTCTGTATTGTCATCTTATTTTATCTTACAAGGAAAATAAATCCAGAGATTAAGGAACATCCTCATGACAGAAGAGCCAGAACCAGGCTGCACACTCTCAGGCCCAAGATTTCTTACTACAGTCATAGGTCCCTTTCTCTAAGAAGTCTTCTCTGATAGACACCCAAACCTGGGAGTGTCCCCTGATTCTCGCCCTGCATTCATCACTCTCTCACTGTTGCCACCACCTATGAAAATTCTGTTCTCCAATTTGACTGGGAGAGACTGGAGGACAGGAACTGGTTGGCCACTGGGTCTCCAGCACTCAGCACCATGTCCAGCTTGGGCCTGTGGCCGGTGGAACATACTCAGGGACTGAGCTTCCACATGGTGGTGGAAGAGCACCCATCATCCAGCAACTCCCGAGGGGCCCAAATCCCCACTGCGGCCTCCAAGGATCAAAGAGCCACTGACCGTGGATGACTTACTTTGGACATCTTTAGGTTCAGCGTTTCGGTGATGCCGGAGAAGTTGGCCCGCTCTGAGAGCAGCTCGGTGAAGCCCAGCTTGGGCAGAATCTGACCCAGCTCATAGGACCCAGACATGGAGAACTTGGGTAGGTGCAGCTCCAGCTTCTTATAGAAATAGACCCTGCAAGGTGCACTGAATTAAGACATTGACTTCACGGACAAGCTGGGGATCCCAGTGGGGGCTGCTCCCCCTGACTGCCTCTCTGCTGACTCTGCTGCACCTGAGTTATGTCCCACAAACACCATTGCTCATGCCACCCCCTCACATGAGGGCTCACAGTGGCTCAAGCCCAGGCTTCTCAGCCCCCGGGCCTGCTGTCTGTGTTCTCTGCTTCCCTTGTGAGCTCATCCTCACTAGATGGTGTTTCTGGGATAGTGCCCTGTGCACCCAGGGATCAGAGTCTCCCTCTGTGACCACTTCTCATTTGCCTCTGTTGGTGCCCTTGGATCAGGTGACTTCTCAGCCTTGAACTCCCTCTACCCCGAGAATAGTGTGGATTCACTGTTCACATGTGACCTGGGGCTGGGATCATTTTTTTTAATAGGTGGTTGGAGATGCTTTTTCCACTCACAGCCCTAGGGTGATGCCAAGCTTCTTTGCCACCTCCTTGGGTGTGTCGATGGAGTTTGCTAAGGTACCTCAGTCAGCCATGAGTTTCCCCAGGTGTGGTCCAGAGGGAGACCCTCAGAGAGGCAGCATCATTTAACTCGGGTGTGAGCAGTGGAGGACCAAGGTCTAGCCCTAGTCTGCTTCTTTTTTCACTGATGAGGGAGAACTCGTATCTGGGAAACTAGATTCCTATTTGAGTGCAATAGGGGAGTTCTTTACTTAAAAACTCCCACAGAAAATATTGGAGCAGGTGAGAATTCTTTCATACCTGGGCAATCACTCTGTATTTTGTGCAGTGGCTTTCACTGGAAGGGTGCATTTGAACAGGAGTGGGGACCACAGGTGCTATGATTACCTCTTCTGAAGCAAGTTGTTCCACCTTACTAACATCTCTGGAGTCAAAACCTCTTCCACTTGCTTCATCTTCCCACGGTCTGGAAGAATGAACAATGCCATCACGTCCCCATCATAGTTCATCCGCAGCACTGAGCAGGGCAAGTATCTGTCGTGAAGGTACCAGTGGTACTGGCCATCCTGCCCCATCATGGGCACCTGGACAATTGTGTTCTCATCTACATAGAAGTCTTGGAGAGTAGTCTTGGATCGACTGAATGGTTTCTCCCACAGAGCTGAGGGAAGCGTGAAAGAAGGTAGAGTGTCTTTGAAGACCATGAAGCCAATCCCCAACCAGGGAATGACTCCTGGTGTTCTGAGTCATCCAAAGTCTATTCCGGGTCTCAGTGTTACCATCCCATCAATGTGCACCACTCAGTTCCTTTCACACCTGATATACCTGTGGATTGGATACCTTAGGGCTCATCTAATTTTAAATGGAGATACCAGAGGATGCTTGCTCATAGGTGAATAGGATCGCTACCACAGAGTGAGAAGGATGATGCTGGAAAGGGGATCATTGTTGGGCCAGCAACCTTGAGAAGAGAGAGGGGATGGCAGAGTGTTAGAAGGGAGACAGCCTTCGATAGAACATGGGTCATTTCTTCCTTTATAAGAGGGACTGAGCTGAGTTTATAGGTCCAAATGCTGAGAGGTGAGTTGATTTGCAGACCAGAAGATGAGAGACATGTTGATTCATTGACTGTTTGCTCAATGATGTATGAAGTAAGTTTATCAAGCCAACGTGAGGAGTGGGAAAGGGGATTGAGAAAGAAGACACTGTCAATAGTGGTTCTGGAGAGTGTAGAATGAAGACTCTGGAGACATGCAAGTAGGATTAGTGGACAGTGTGGAATGATCTTTGAAGATTCATATCCATGAATTGCACGTGAGACCATCTTCACACTAAGGTCTTTTTCTCCAACCACATTCACCTCCTGGACATAGATATAGATGAACTAGGTCATTAGTTCATTTCAAGTGAGAACTGCCAGCACATTTGGCTTTTTATCTCCAAACACACTCAGTTTTTGGTGCACCTGTAGATAAACTAGATGATTAAGTTTCAGCATATCTGAAGTTTTGACAGATAAATTTAACAGGAGAGAAACCCAAGGAAGCTTAATGTGCTTGAGAGGAAATGATTATAAACATAGTCAACTAAGTCTATGCTGCAGTAGGAGGGGACTGAGAACAAGAGGGTATGTCCAGTGAGGTAGTGGTTGATAGGGTGATTGGACTGGAGTCTCCAGGAGGCTGGGCATTGCCAGAAGTATTAGACCAGCTAGAAGTGTGGGACCTGCGACTACAATGGTGTCCTCCTGACTACAAAGCCCACACTAATGTTTCCTTCTTCCTTCCCTCCTTCTTCCCTTCCTTTCTTCCTTTCCTCCCTCACTTCTTTCCTTCCTTTCTTTCTCTCCCTTCCAAACATATGAAGGTATGAATACCTCAATCCTACACAATCACAAATACATGTTGCTCTAACATTAAATCTTCTGAAGGTTTCTAGACCTTATCAGATCCAAACCATCCATATCCTATTTTTAATATTTTATCAGACAATAAATGATGGGGCAAAGGGGAAGAATTTAGAATCCACTCACGAGTTGTCTCTTACCTTTGAAGTAGATGAAATTCACCAGCACCAGTATGGTGTCCTTGCTGAGCTTACTGGCCAAATTCACAATCTTTCCTTGCGTTTCCTTCATGACATGGTTATTGATAAGCTGAGCTGCACCTTCTGAGTCATGGAAGTTTGTGTGGAAGACTTGGGACTCATAAAAGGCCATGGTATCATTAAGGAATTTTGGAAGGAGCTGCACCCCCCTGCTCAGAAACAAGGCACTGCCCATGTGTATCTCCAGAGTGTCAGTAGCAAGACTGAGAGTGCGCAGGAGATGCCGGAAGCCCAGGTGGATGTCAGACTCAGCCATCTCTGTGAGGTTGAAGCCCAGGCCCTGGAGGATCTGGGTCCGGGTGTGTGCACGGGCCCCCAGGGAGAGCATGGCCAGGGCGGCAGAGATGCTCAGTGGGGAGAAGAAGATGTTCTTGCTGGGGGACTCAAAGGCCATCAGATGGTAGAGGTGGAGGGCAAAGTCTGTATTGCTGGGGACGATCCTGAGGCTGGGGGAGCCCTCACCTGGGCCCAGAGTCTCTTGATGGGAGCTGTTAGTGAGATTTCCTTCCTTGTGCCCAGGATGGGACTGACCCTGGGAAACGGCCAGTGGAGCAACCAGAAGGAGGAGCAGGTGGAAGGCCAGATGCATCTTCTGCACTCTCAGGTCTGTGGGAGGACAGAGAATGTCTGGGAGATGCCCTGCGGAGCAGATTAACCTGGCCCTACAGAGACAAGGGACAGGGGCAGTTCCCAGAGATGGTAAGTGGCACTATGCACTCCTGCAGAGAGGCTTGTGGAGGACAAGCCAGCACTGTGTATGGGAACAGTGGCACATTTCATGACGTTGCTGTAGAGTCTACAAAGCAGAGTCATGTGCCCACCTCTGTGAGCTCTGCACCCTCTATACCCTGTTCTCATTCCAGAGGCAAGAACACGGAGGTTCCCGAAGTGACAGAACCAAGGCCACCCAACCAGCCAAAGTCTGAGCTGGAACACAGGTTTGCAGATTATCAGCATGCTCCCCTATTGAGTTAATTTACTGTATCCAGTGACAGCACACCTGGTGTGCCTGTCACCATGATGTTTCGGCATCTACCCCACAACATGTCTGATGATGTCCTTTACAAAGAACCTTCATTCCTCTTCCTCTTAAAAAAAAAAAAAAAAAAAAAAACCTAGTTTTTATTGCTGTGCATATTCAGCTTTAAAGACAAGATTTATTTTATAGTTATAAATACATGTTCACTGTAGAAAATTATAAATATAGAAAACTATAAAGGAGAAAATTAAATTCATGCAACATCCAGACTTCTGAAGAAAAGTGTTACTAACATTTTCATGTCTGTTCCAATCTTTTCCTTTATCCTGTGTACATAATTTTTCGTACAAAGTGTACATTGATTTTTTTGTAATCCAAGATTTTAATAACAGTATACTGTGAGTATTTCCCATGTCATTAAATATTCTAAAACGCAATTGCTTAATGGTTTCAAATTATTCAATCTAAAGTACATATAAGAAAGTATTTAAGTTATCCCCTTTTATTGAGATTTTTCCAATTATCCATTATTACAAGCAACATTGTAACTAACATATGCATACATAAATTTTTATTTGTGCCTCTGATTCTTCCCTTAGAAGAAATTCCTATAATGGAATCACCAGACTCTCATTCCCTTTTGCTTGACTCTCATATCAAGATGGAGGTCTATGGACATGGTATTCCTACTATCACTCTGTGAAGAGGAGGAAACTGGTGTTCAGTAAATGATTTGCCCAATGTCACAAGGATAGGATTGGCGCCTTGATCGTGATGAAATTAACCTGCTCAAGACATGAGGACTGATTTTCTTCACAAACTTACTTCTGCCTCACCCAGTGGCCCTTCTCAGGCCACATTTCTACCTAACACCTCTCCTCCCTCCCTCCACCACCACCCGTTCATCTGTCAGTATGTCCAGCATGCTCCTTCTTCAACCTCTGAGTCCTTCCCCTGCCAAGATTCTGATCCAGGTCCCCATCATCTCTTACCTAGACCAAGAGTCAGGAAAGGTCAGATAGCAAATGACTTTGGTTCTACAATTCCTTGACCAGGTTGTTGTAGTGGGGACAGTCACAATGGAGACATACACGAATGGTGTAGCTGTATTCCCAACACATGTATACCCAAAAACCCACTGTCATCGAGTCGGATCTGACTCATAACGATGCCTCCTTGGGTTTCAGAGGCAATATCACTATGGAAGTAGATTGCCCAACCTTCCTTCCAAGGAGTGGCTGGTGGGTTTGAACCATCAGCCTTCTGGTCAGCAGTCAAATGCCTTAGGCACTATGCCACCAGAGCTTTGTATGGATACCCAAATTTGAATTTCATATAATATTCATGTGCTAGAAAATATTGATCTTTCTTGGATTTTTTTCCTTCAACCTCTTAAAATAGAAAATATGAAAAGCAGTCTTAGTTTCATGGGCTGTAGAAGCGGAGATGAGTCAGAGATGACCTGTGGCTGTAGGTGGCTGACCCTTGAGTGAAGCCACAACATTAGTCTTTTCCTAACTGCTCTCTCAACTCTCACTTTCCACATGACAATTGGAATGATCAGTTAAAAGCACAAATTGGACCATTTCTCTCAACTGTTCAAACCTCCTCCAACGGGCTTCCTACCAGTTGGGGCGGGGTCATGTGTAGAGGGCTTTCTAGCCTTAGCATTTGGAGGTATGGTGACCAACTGGTTCCAGTTTACCCAAGACTCTCCTGGGTTTAGCACTGAAGAACCCTGTGTCTCAGGACCCCTTTTAGTCCCAAGCAAAGTAGGACAGTTGGCCACCCCCTCTTGGGTCTTCATTGTGGCCCCAGGGGGCAGGAAGGGCCCCAGAAAAAAAGTGTTACTCACGGTACAGTCAGTCCTGGGCAGCTCACGGCACTGCCTGGGGTAGGAGGGGGGCGGTGGGCAGGATGAACTCCAGGCTTATCAAGCCCAGGAGGATTGGGAAAGACAAGATAATGAGCTCCACCTGCTGCCTCCGTGACCAGGTAATCATTAATGAACAGACCCAAGGTGCAGTGTGGAATCCTGACCCAGAGAGAAATATCAAGAGGAGTAGGCTAGCCTCTTAATAAGGCTCCTCCACAGGGGTCCCAAGAAGGGTTCACACCTCCATGTCTGTGCAGTACATTGAGGTTTGCTTGGTACCTGATCCTCTCTGAGGGCCAGGGGAACCTCAAAGTGGGTCTGGTGTCCATTCTACACCTCATTTGCTGTGTGAATGTCAGCACATCTACACCCCATTTTTGGATTATGGTTGCCCCACCACCATCTGCACGATAAGGGTTGGACCAGAACAGGGTAGAAAATTCCAGAGCCTTCACCAACCAGGTCAGAAGATTCCAGGGTGGCATGGCAGGGAAGGGTGGACTGTGGACAAAGGCAGTCAGCCCTCTGCAAGACAATTTGTGGGTAGACCCTGCCCAGGGTGTCAGATGATAGTCCTGGGCTGTGTGACCTCTGAGGAGCCATCCTGTGATGTTGGAGGGTTCATGATGGAACCACTGAGGTCTTACAGTGGGACTGCAGGGTGAGTGCCTGGTCCTTCTTATGAAGAGACGGGGTGAAACCAGCACCTGGACAATCCTTTCTATGTAGCACCTTGTCTACATGGATAAACCTTTCATCCTACTGGAATGTCAGGCTTGTGGGGTCCTGTCATCATTGAGATTTCCCAAGTGCTAGACCAGAGACGGTGCATCCCATATGTTCATCAGTATTCAGCCAGTGCATGAATAAGTGAAAGATGGTTGTTGAGGGTTGATGTCATCAGTGTGAAAACAAGTTATTCCCTTTGCAGTAGACTACACCTTGGATGTTTGCCTCCTCAGTGTGGCCCCTGCAAGGTGTCAGAGGCTGATAGGACACATTCCAGAGTCAGCACGTATTTGGCTACAGTCAGAGGAAGGGGCAGTCCGTTTGCATTTTGAGCACATGGTGACCGCCCTTTGGTTCCTAGTACCTGCTACACAAGGTGACGGCCAGAGCTTGGGGTCTGAGCTCAAATTTGCCTGCTGCCCTGCTCTGTCACTGCTGTGTGACCTTGGGCAAGGCTCTCTAGCTCTCTGACACTCAGTGTCCTCTTGGTGAAATTAGGGCCTGTAACTGCTAATCAAAAGGGCTCATGTGGGGGAATAGGGATTCCTCAAATGGGCTGAGGTCTGCTTGGTCATACATAGGAGGTCAGTGGGAATTTTCTCTCAGGTCCACTGTGATGGGTATGTTTGTGTCAACTTGGCTGGGCCTGGCTGAGTGCCTGGGCAGCTGGTGGTAGTCATTCCCCATGATGAGACAGGCAATCAACTCCATGGTAGGATCTACCACAAGCAGCTGAGTACCTGCCTTTGGGTATGTGGTCTGCTTTCCATGTATAAGTAGCAGCTTTGGGAACAGTCTGTAGCTTATGGCACACTTGGACCCTGCATGTAGCTGTGTCATTGTTCAGCAGCCTGCCATGCTCTGCTGACCTTGGGACTTACAATGGGCTTAAATTAATGTCCTGCTGTGTAGTTTAGTAACATTGGGATTGTGCCTTTTTTACTTGTCAACCTTGGGCTTGTCAGCCTCAGCAGCCAGCAGCTGTCTGAGTGAAGAAATGCCTCTAGCTCCAGTGGGCTGGGAGCAGGAGGAAGAGCTGAAGCCCAAGGTTGAAAGTCTTTCACCCAGTCTCTAGAGCCTGGCACTTTGAACTCAGACTTAAAGCCTCCAAACTGTAAGAGAATAAACTCTTGTTGTTAAGGCTGTCCCATTTGTAGCATATTCTTGTCAGAGTGGCACTAGGTAGCCAGAACATCCAACCTGCCTGGTGTGAATCCCAGCTCCGCACTTACTTCACTGGGTGACTTGTCTACAAACTCTGGGCAATAACAGTTCCTGAGCCTTAGAATTGTTTGTTATGATGATTCAGGAGATGAATCTCCATTAAGTGCTTTAAAAAAAAAAAAAAAATGTTGCTGTTGAGTCAGCTAAGACTCATAACACCCCCGTGTGTGTCAGAGTGGAACCATGCTCCACTGGGTTTTCAATGGCTTATTTTTCCAGACTAGATTTCCAGGCCTTTCTTCTGAGGCTGCTCTGGGTGGGCTTGCACCTCCACTTTGGGTCAGCAACCAAGTGTGTTAACCATTTCCACTACCCAGGAGCTCCACGAAGTCCTGAGAAGCACAATATTAGTATCTGATTTCACTTTATTGTTTCCACATGGTCTGCTCTCTATTCTTTTATGCCTAAATGTGTAAATATGTGCCTGTAACATTCTTGTGCACAGGTTTCATGAAGCTTCCAGACTAAGACCAGGAATCTACTTCTGAGATCTACTTCTGAGAAGAATCAGCCAATGAAAACATGGATAACAGCAGAACATTGTTCAGTACAATGCTAAAGGAGGAGCCCCTCAGGTTGGAAGACACTCAAAATAAAACTGGAGAAGAGCTGCCTCTTCAAAGTAGAGTCAACCTCAGGGACATGGATGGAGCAAAGCTTTCAGGACCTTCATTTGCTGATGGGGCATGACTCAAAATGAGAAGTAAAAGCTGCAAACATCTGTACCAGATGTTAATAACCAGAGAGTGAAATATGTGAAGTATGAATCAAGGAAAATTGGAAGTCATCA